CATCACCGTTAATATCGCAAGGAAACAGAAGAAACCGTAAAATGTTCGTATGCTATAAAGCATTTTCTGCCGCTCCTAGTCAGTTCGTTTAATTAAACTATCAGCACTTCTGAAACACCAGCATTTTAAAGTACCTTCGATCCTGAACCATCCCAAAAGTTCCTTTCCTGTAGCATGTAGGAATGATATGCTAACTTAACAGACATTAGTAGAGAAGTGCTAACGTTTGGGGGGCACCCGGCTACGGGAGATGTATGACATATCGCGTCTCTTCAACTCAACTGACATCTATAGCACTTAATCTAGCGGCCGAATAGAATAAAACAAACAAGATTTCAACCGAAACTACTTCTAGGATAAATCCCACAGAAGCTGAAGGAACATACAAATGTATTTGAATCCTTTGTAGTAAGAATATAATGGTCAACAAAAATGAGCACAGTCGTTAGGTAGTTTCCAGGCAAATCTTCCCATTCCACGTTTGCTTCGACTACCCCGCCACACCCTTCAGCGTTAAATTTGACTTAGGACTTTCAAATATAGCATAGACGGTTATATCTAAAGTACTATTAAACATGATGTAACGTTACTATTCTTGCCGCACGGAAGAATGACAGAAGACGAGACCTGCCGTATACACTTCGCGGAGTCCGCGTGCCCCCCCCCCAAACTCGTGGCACCATTTAAACTGAACCCTAAAGACCACCCTAGGCAGAAAGTCTTTGAATTAAATAATAGATTATCCTTATCTTGACAAATGTGTACCTTTATTTCTTTCTGGAACGAAATCAGGACCATGTAAATTTAGGCAGTCATGGGCACGGCCGCAATGTGAACAAGACAGCCGTGTATTCGTCCGCAAACAATGCCGGAACTACTGGTAGTTTTTCAGAAAAATTCCAGGTGCCTAACTTAGTGCTTTATCACACAGCGTCCAGCTGGCACACGTGCCATTACTAATGTTCTTTGGGTGTTTTAGCAGCTGGTCCTGCCTCGTTTAGCGCTCGAAATTATTCTTATCTTATTGTTTGCCTGTTTTTATGTCTCTTCAGGAATTAGTCAAATATAGGCTCTTTAAGATAATTTCGGATGTGGCAGGATGTTTTTTTGTTTCTTCCGCGAGGTCTGTTGCTCGTCTTCAGGTTTTTGAGTAAATAAATGATAAATAAGTAACTCGCAAAAAAGGATTGTGTAGGTAATGAGCTCGCCAGTTCTCCTCTTCTGCAGAATGGACGTAATTGATTCCTTTGTGTTCTGGCGCAAGGTTCCACTTGTGTTGAAGCCACCTTTCGCTTTAACGCTACGAATGTTTCATACGAGAAATGCGTCTTCAATAATTTCCTGTTGCCCTCGGACCAGCGGTTATAGTGTATTAGGGGGGATACGGGCAAGAGAATCGCAATTTGCCGCTCCGCCGCGCGCGGCGATAGGCGCGGCGTTTTCTTAACTCGTGTTAACCTGTCGATTGGAGCACCGGACTTCATGTAGACCCCGTCATCGTACATTCATGACTATTTTCGGTTCTGAATTGCCTGTTGTCGCCATCTACTACCTGAACCATCGTCATTTGCGGGCGCGACGTCGCACGCGACGCCCAGCAGCGCGGTGAATTACGATTCTCTTGTCACATACCCGTAGTTAGGAGTGGTAGTAGTCTGCACGGTGGCGCGTGCGGACTCTGGTCGTCTGTACTCTGCCATGTCGCAGCGCTGAGTGACGGGACGCAGTTGCGCCTTCGGGTTACTTGACAACCAAGGCATTGAAGGTGTTCAAAGGGTGTCAGTTGAACAGCGTTCCAGATGAGACAACTCGCCCATAGTTCCAAATTAGTTTTTTCCCCCTAAGTAATCATTAGAAGAAAGCTTGGCTGAGAACCATGGGCACTGTAGCCCACACTGACGGTTTTTGGCAGACTACAAATTACGAAAGCCTCATAGTCTAGTGATTCATACAAGTTATCCAACTTGGTAGGGACTTACTGTACCTGTCAAAACACGTCAATTGCAACGGAATCGCGCCAAACGACCGCCTCCCAGGCCTTGGGGGGGTCCTGCTGCGAAAGGCTAGAGAGCAGAGAAATAAGGGACTGCGGCTGCCAAGGCATCGAGAGGTACTAAAAAACATGCTGCGAGCCAGGAGATGAGTTTTTTCAAAGGGAGAAGACACCGGGGTGGAGGAGCCACTTATTAGGCGTGAAAAGTTCGAAATGGGAAGGTCAGATTGGTCACAAAACAGCATGCTATCATGAGGCGCTGAGAAAAACAGAAAGCTGACTGCGCATTAACGGGACTCGTTCCCAGTTGTCTTGTAAGGACGCCGTTGTCCTGTGGCCTACCCTCAAATGCGTTTTTCAATGCATCTGTCAAGCATTGTTACATCTGACGACGGTAGTCGGCGAAAAGCTTTCGATACATATCGACTGGCGTTGGGCGAAGAGCCTGGCGGTTGGGCGAAAGGGTTTTGGTACGTATCGACGGGCGTTTCGCCAAACCGCGACGTTTTTCGCCTTCGACAAAACGCTAGCTCCATCGCGGTGGCGTTTTTCGCCAGCGAAATCGATACACATCTACTGCTTTTCGCCCAACCGCCGTTTCGTCAGGGCCTGGAGACTGTGAACAATGCCTCATCCACAAGACCTCCTCCCCTTATTTTTCTTCATTCTCTTCTGTTCCTTTCTTCTTCCTATCTTCTTTATTCTTAGTCTCCTAACTACTTCGGCGAGTAGGAGCAAC